GGGAGCGGGAACGGGATCCGCTCGGGAGTCTCCGAGCAGCGGGAGCGGAGTGCCCCTGGAGTCATTCCTGAGGCACCACGGGACTGCAGGGATGCCACAAACCCAGAGTCTGTGTAAGGGACAAAGGCAAACTCCCCCCAGGAAGGTGCCTGGGTTTTCCTACCTGGCCTGAGCAGATATTCTGTGCTTTTAGAGGCACCTTCACCACAAAGAAGACCAGCTGGAGAGGATCAATGGAGCGTCGTTGGGATCCATGGAGTGGTGAGTGATATTTTCTTTATTTTGTCCCTGTTACTCTCTTTCTGTCCCCCCCACCTATTTTCTATGTCTTTCTCTCTCCCATATTTACTATCAAATAAAACCCGTGCTGTTGTCACTGGGAAATGGTCTGAAAAGCAGACTACACTGAAAAGCAAATGTAGATTACAGTAGTTGGGAGAACCGGTGCCCTAACAGGGGGTTTGCAAACTGACAGCTGAGCCAGAATTCCTAAGGCTTAGGTCAGATACCTAATAATAAATAGCCTTTGGGAGTCCGCCTCTTTACACTGCTGCACTTGCCCCTGACCACTTGGGGTTTCTGCCTGCACAATAATAAATGATCCCGACCTCCCAGAGATCAGCTGTCATGTGGTTGAAGCACAGTGCTTTGAGCAACCCATTATTACTCATATAAAAACAAGAAGCTGCACTAAATTAGAAAAACATTAAAAACATCCTGAGTTCAAAGCAACTTCACTTACAGTGCCCGTTTTACATTTTGTCCCTCCCTTTCCCCCTCTCTTGGACCAATCCCTGAGACTGTAGAGATGTTCCTCCACCCTGTAGTCCTCTTCTGATATTTCTTTTCCTTTCTAATGTATTTGGAAGCCAGAAAATACAATTGAATTTATTTTTCGTCACAGAATAAAGTAAAAATGCTTCTTGCTATAAAAGCTCTTGAAAAATCTTTTGGTTTTCTTCTTTTGCAAGGACAGGTACTTTTAATGTGCTCTTCAGATGTGCTCAGTGAATGAACATATAAGAGCCTAAATTCACGGCTGTTTTTATTTAGCAGATTCAGAACTTTCCAAGAAAGGGGATTCTGAAAATAGTTGCGAGTCTCTGGACTTGCTTAGCATTTCAAGAATAGTTATTTCTGTTTTCTCCTGAAGGAATATTTTAACCTGTTGGTCCCATGAAAATGCAGAGTGTTTAATATCTAAAAATTGCCTGTACTAGGTCCTAAGTTAAGGAACAAATTAGGGGGGGAAAGGTAAGTCTAAGGCTGTCTCATTCACTTGGTTTTTTTCTGATCAAAAAGTTTCTAGGTGGTTTAATGACAAATAATTTAAAAACGGTTTTAGAGTCTCTTTAAAGCTTTGTTTAAAGTTTTGCAGAGATATTGTATCTCTGACTTCAGGCATCTTGTGGGGCTTTGGTGTGAGGCTTCACATGCTCTATCTTTGCCAGAAAAAGTCCTGTGCTTTTGCAAGGAAAAGTTCTGCTATTGCAAGACCTGACTCTGCAAGTTTTAGGGAGAGTTTTACCCCCCCTAACACGTTCCTTTGTGACAAAATACGGATGGCAGAAATGTTGGAGCAGCACAGATCGGCTTTTTGGGAAGATGGGGTTCTGACCCTGTATGCCAGACTGAAAAAGCAAGTGTTAACACACCCTGTTGAAATCACAAATGTCCCACCTGAAATGAAGTTTTGACACAGCTGCTTTACTGCCAGCTGCCAGAATGTGCCTTTTGTACTCACTTCCACGCCCTTATTCAGGGTGTGGTTTTGTTACTCATTTCTGCAAGAATAAGCTTTCCTTCTTTTCCCAGGCTCACTCTTGTAATGCAGGGCCTAGTCCTACTCTGATTTCAACTAAAACATTGAATAAAAATACATTTGAGCCTCACAGTTTCACCCAGGCAGCCCCCAAGTCCCAGACAGCTGCTCCCAGAGATCCCAGGATGGGGGAATATTCAAAAATAAATACTGGGATGTATTTGTGCTATTGAAGATGCTGTGATCACACCAGGAAGAACAATTTATAATGTATGTAGAAAAAGAAAAAAAAAACATCTCCAAAACAGATGGGGCCCATGCATCTGGGAGTATGCATAGGTATGAGACACAAGCTTATTTTCCTGGTGGTTTGCTAAGATGTCCTTTCACATATGAGATTTATACACTTTTTTACGCTATTCAGAATGTGATCCTTATAAATAAGGATAAATACTTCTTGTTTATTACTTATTCCAGTGGCCTCAGTCTTTTCTCTCTTCTTAACACTTGGCAACAGCCAGTGCCTGCAGCCTGGCTCTGAGCTCATTGTGCCTCCTCAGCTTCAGCTTAGCTGCAGCACAAGGATTTCCCTCCATTTAGGTAAATTTAGGTCACCATACGTTTTTCACATAGCTTCTATGCAATTTGTGTACCTGTCAATAATTTAGAAAAGACAGGATGGTTTTGGGGCCAGCAGGGTCCTGCAGTGCCTAAACAGAACATAAAGGACATGGTGAAAAGGTGCTCATCAAGGGACAAAACAAGAATTCAAAAGGACAAACAATTTCACTCTTCAATAAAGCAAAGATTGGGGTTTTTTCCCCAGCTCAAACAGTTACGTTTCACTGAGATATTTGACTAATACTGCAAGTGAAGTGAGATGCAGAACTGTGAATGTTTGATGATTCCAGTGAGGAAAAGGAATGGAAGGGGGCAGTTTCCAATTACGACAAGTTCAAGGCAGGCAGTTTCCCAGCACAAATGCCCTTTCCCTCCCACAGAAGAACAATGAAGTTATGAGGGCATGGATAAGGAAGGGATGCTGTTTTTTAGGGGTGGTGGTTTTCAGGAGGGCACAGAAGGAGCCCTTCCTGCAGCAAGCCCCCCTTTCCCATCCAGAGGGGTCAATGTGAGGATATTGCTGCCCTTACTTCAGTATCACACCCCCCTTCCCTGCAGGCAGGGTTCATCAGAGCTGTCATTCATTACACACAGTAATTAACAAACTTTTTTCTCTAGGTAATCTGAAATGCCAGGTGCACAACACACTGTAGGTTCCTGTACTGCAGTATCAGCAGACTGCTTAGCTACTTTTACTACAATTTGGCAGCATCATCATATTATTTTGCATGGTAATTGATTAAAATCACAAGATACTCTGGGACACAGTGAATCAGGAAAACTGTGGGAGCAGGAGGGCTTATGGGTGGGGAAGAGAAGCCTTATTTTTTTTAATCCCCCAGAATTATATCTGAGGAAAACAGCAAATGCTTCTTCCTTCAGCCTGCCTCTGAACACCCATTTATTCAAATCCCACATTGGCTCTTAGCAGCCTCAAGGATCAAAGGATGGTTTTTTGTTGTACATACATTTTGTTTCTGGGCTAGGACAGACAGCTCCTTACCAAGGTGGTTCTTTCCCAGCCTGGCTCCGAAGGGAGTCACAGCCTTTTCCTACAGACCTGTTTTTCCTTTTGGAGAGCTGCACCCCCATGAACAGCCCATCAGCCCGGAGGAAGACAAGGGGATGAAGGGCGCCGGCAGAGGGATCCTTTACCACAGAGCTGGTGGGGCAGCCAAGGAGGACGCTGAACCCTACAAGGAAACACTGGCACTCATTTACAAACAGAACTCAGCATTTTTATTCTTTGATTGACTTCCTGCTAGTTTTGATATTTGCTACCACCAGAGAAGAGCGTAAAAACACAGTACAACATTGTGAACCAGTTAGGAAGGCTGGAAGGGAAAGCAAATCCCAGTACAATTGCAAGTAACTTGGTGGAGTTCAGAATTAAGATTGTTTTGAACGAATCAGCAATGAAGCAATAAATATGCTGCTGCACTGAACCAACAACAGGATTTAATCACTAACTTTGTGGTTTATTGCATTACAGTTTAAAACTAAATGTTGTCCCTCATCATACATTCACCAACCAGGTAAATGACACTTTTTCATATGTTTGATGCTAAACGGCTAAAATTATGCAGCAGCCAAACTAGACTAGGACTAGTAGAGGTAGATATTGAATGGGCAGTGCCAGGCAGAAATATTTTGTCAAGGTACTTCTTTGTCTTTCATTATGAACAGTTAGCAGGTTTAACACTTTTAATTAAAACATCTTAGGGAAGCTATTCTAAGATGCTTTGGACTTTGTAGCAGTATTTCTCTTGCAGTATTACAAACTCTTTGATAGTGTCTCTTGTAAAGTGGACAATTTTTGTCCTTCCAGTTTTCTGCCAGAATTTGCATGGAGATTAACACACAAAACTGGTATTTGTGAACATAATACTGCTTTTGCTTGTACCACTCCAGAATACACATTCACAGCTTCCTTGGCATGGGAAGACTGCATTTATAGTATTTACAGCTCCAGTCATCTTCCTAGCAATAAAAAAGCCATTTTATATTTAATCTAAAATGGAATTTCTATAATGCCAGCTCCTTACAACTCACTTCAGTCTTCTTTTGGCGAGCTGCTCTATCAGTTGCTCCTTGCCATTCCCACTGCTGGCTGCATGCTCTGGGGAAGTCTCTGCCCAACACAGCCATTAAAATTAGTGTTTGTAGATTGGAGCTTTCATTTCCAGGAAACAGAATCACGATGGGATGGCCAGAAGTTTTGTAAAATCATACACCCTTTGTGCCTCGCTTCATCCCAGGACAGCTGATTACTGGAAGGCTCCTGGAAGCAAAAGCCTTTCCTCAGGCTCAGCAACCACTTTCTTCCAGCTGGAACCTGACCTTTCATCCATGAGCGTATAGATGGCTTGAATCAATTACTGACACAACCGCCTCTAATTACACTACATTTGCACCATTTTCCTTCACAGGACCCCAAAGCACTGCGTGACCACACAAGTGTAACTCTGACTTCCACACAGTTCAAGCTGTTTTACATTACACTTCAGTAAAAATGGCATTTGTAAAGCAAAATTCCTTAGGGGAAAAGATTTCAAAGCTAGCTACATACCTTGTATAGAACACTTAGAAAAACAGTTAAAGCAATCACAAAAAGGGGAAAATACAATTTTTATCTGGGTCTATTGAGCTGGGTGATGGTATCAAGTGGTTTTATTTGCATTAGTAGTACATGTCTAAAACAGAACTGTGGCAACAACATGGGAATGCTGCAGGAATGATGGCACCATTGCTCCAACCCCAAAGGCATCCCATTAGACAGACACCTTAATTCTTCTTGTTTATCTTGCTCACATGATACTGGTGGTTGCACCTCTGGCTCCTCAGGCCTGATCTCCCCCTGCCCTCATGGGTGTTTTCTTTCAGGGAAAATATAATTCAATCTCTGAGTTTCTATACCAACTTTCCGAGTCCACTCTTGTGGCTGCAGCACCTCCAAACCTTGCAAACCCTAATGCTAAAGGAAGATGTAACAGGCTGATCATAAACACCTTATCTAGCCCTAGAGAGCTTCCTGGGAAATGTGAATTTGCTCCCCATGCTAGGGGAAAATCTGGGTGACAAACTTCCCTCTGTTCTGGCTGAGACAGCACACATCAGGACAAGCCTTCCCCCTATAAACATGCAAATATTAAGAACCCTGCCAACAACAACAACAAAAAAAAAAAAAGGTCAAATATAGATTTCAAGGCATTTAATATGCAAAGCAATTAATTACTGAATAGGTAATTTTGAGGCTGTTTTACCTGCTTGTTCACACATGCACCTGCATGCTTTGCTCTCTACATGGAGGAAGCAAGTACCTCACCTACCATCACAGGGAAAACCACAACTTCCAGTTCCCTACAATTTAAGCCCATGAATAACTCTGGCACTGCTTCATGCAGTGTGCACCATCTTGTCTTATCTAGGCAAAATTTATTGTCAGAAATTTTTTCGTACCCAGGAAAGATACCCGTATCGTGTGTCATCACCAGTGGCTCCACTGATGGTGACATTTTCCTTCTCCAGTGAAAATAATGAAGAATCAAACTAAATTGTGTCATGCCAATGCTCTAGGTCACTGACCACAACTGCACTCCCTGCTCCCCTGCTCTGGCAGCCCAGCACCAGCGATTACAATTTTGGATCTCAGCACACAAAGGTGCTTCCACTGCAGCACAGCACTCTGTGCTACCAAAGAAGACTCAGTGCACTGGATCTCAACTTCATTTCCAGCTCTAAAAGCTCTTCCTCAGAAGTCAGTCTTGCATCTAACAGAACAGATGTGAAGATGAAGGAATAACAATTTCTTTGCCAGTTAAAGAACCTCCATTTTCAGGCAAACTCTTGGCTTAGTTTTCTGTCCTGGGCTTGCAGTCTTCTGGAAGGGGATGAGTACCCTCTTTAATCCAAAAGCACCATCTCTGAAGCAGTGTGCATGCCTTTCATGAAGGCTATGAAGTGTCTTTGGGAAAATCAAAATAGATGTGTAGATGAGGACTTCTGGAAGGCCCACTGAAGCATCCTTTTCCCCATTTGCACAATTAAAGACGAGTAACTTCCAGCTTTTAGTTCATTCATTTCAACCCAAAAACAGGCATTGAAAAAGAAATAATCCCATTTATAGGCAGCACCCAAAACCCCCAGTATCTGGGAAAAAAAGCATTTGCTTGATGCAATTCACAATCTGTTGCAAGTGAGCACTCATCTGCCTCCAGCAGCTGAGAAATGGGCAGCAATACTCAAGAGGCAAGGCCAAAATCTCACAGCTTGTGTAGGCAAGACTGAACCATCTCCAGGAGTTGCAGAAGACATGCAGTCCAAGTACCTCAGGCTGCAGAAACCACTGAGATCAAGACATCAGTACTCGAGTCAGTTAAAGGCTCTGTTGGTATTCCAGTCCCTAAAAGCCCAGCAGGTAAATATACAAATACAGCAACCCACACTCGTGATGGGAACTATACTGCAAACATACACCAGGATAGGCTAGCCATGAAAAGAAGGGGAGATGAAGACACAGTGAAGAAAAGCCTGTTGTTCTGACACTTAGGAATCTACAAACCCCAGCAAGTCCTCCAGGATCTCTTAACTGTACATGTCAATCACTGAATTCCACTATGTGGAAGAGGAAGGCTGTGTATCCACAAAACAGATACTCTGTAACTGAACTCCTGCAGCAAAGAAGGCACTCACTTTGTAAGCTGTAGTTTATTTCTGCTGTTTTATATGATGAGCCTACATAAGAAAACATTTGAGTACTTATCTATATTATTAACACAGTAGACTTATAGACTGAAGCTTGACTTGGAAACACTGGTGGAACTTAGAAGCCGAGTAGCAAAGCATTTTGTTATAGGACTTCCCAGACATTCAGTATTTACACAGATGCATTTGCACTTTATACTCAATGACCACCCATCGTCAGCAGTGACATTGTTAGCATGACTGGACAGCACAGTGAGCCAGCCCTGAGCTGCACTCCAGCAAACCCATTCACTGTCCAAGTACAACACAGATCGGTTGGAATATTCACACAGGTGTTTTTCAAAAGGTTTTATTGCATTATATTTGGTACCTTATGTTTGACAAAGGAAATTACATCTGTAACTGCAGGAATAAGAAGCTGGTCTGTTATTGAAAAAAAAATCTTGGGCCCCTTAAAAGTTACAAAGTCTTGGGCTTGCCTGAAACAACTGAGCAAGAAATATATTCTTAGAAATGTAGGGCTTCAAGTATTACAAACCTGTGACACTGTGGAAAAGTTCCAGAGGTATCTAAACTGCAGCACTTTTATTTTTTTCTGCATAACGTGAACAAGGCCTGCTGAGGTTTTAATCTATTAGTCTCTTGATCAGTCAAAATGGTAGTCAGGAGTTTTCCTCTTTGCAACTTCAAGCCATAGTATGTTCTCATTTTGTTTTCACTCTACGTGAAAAATGCATGCGATCTTTCTAATTGGTGCCACATCACAGTGCATAATTTTATTTGGTTCTTGCATTACAGTTTTAAAAAGTTTGGCCAACCTATGCCGATAGGTTCATCTCAAGAACAGCAATGCTGATTCTCCCCTCCCCACCCCGAGTTTAATTCCAAGAGAGACCATTGTAACTGGTTCCTTCCTTCAGGTAAAAACTGTGGTGCAAGAACACCGAACTGATCGTGTACAGTGAATTTCAGAGACACAACAAGCTTATTGAACACACTATGTTTCTTAATTCTGGTTGATATCCGTATGTCCAAGCACCCCAACGTAACAAGTACGTTGTGGGTTTCTCTATATTCTGATTCACATTGCATACTTCCTATGGACACAATCATCCCCCGTATCAAAATCAGTCAGATGCTAAAGCCCCATCAACTCTTTGTGCTCAGTGAAAGAATCCAGTGCTAAAACAGCAGTTTTGCTGTCTGAGATAACAGTAATCTCACAAGACAAATTTAAATTTAATATTTCTGCCACACACCTGCTCTGAGGGCTATACACCTCCAGGTCTCATATAAATTAGTTTAAAAACATGGGTGGGTAGGTGAGGAAAAGGGTTGTTTATTTTTTCCTTTTTTTCAATTTTAGCAGCTTTTAATTTTTAAGAAACCAAACAATCTATAACCAGTAATATGTTAGATATTTTATATATATACTTTGTCAGCAGGATAAAAAAAAAGTAAAACTATTTGAAGGCAACGGGGTTTTTTTCCTTCTGTTCTTTGTGTAAGTTAGAACAATTCAGCAGGTGCGTGACAAAAATATTATACACCAGATATGGTCCAACGTCATTTTTTTGCAATAAAGTTGTTCATATTTCATTGGCCAGTTCTTCAGGTTCTGCAGAACTATCTCCATTAACTGTGATCTTCATATCCTCTTCATATCCAGGGGGCATGAAAGCCAAAGCATAAGGGAAAAGCTTATGACAATTTGCTCTGTAAGTTTCAGATGCTTCTTTACAGTCTCCAAGGCTACCGTCACATAAAGCTTCTAATACCTCCATACAAGTCTAATTAAAGAGAAAAATAAACAAGTGTTATGGCTTCTTAAACATTCAGCTGAACACTCACAACACAGGTTTCAAAGAGCACTTCTGCTCTCTCAGATAAGAATAATTTCCTAAGACACATTTAAAACAGTATTTCTGACACAGACCTGCTCAAAAGGCCACACACCTTTCATCAAATGACATTCTAACTAAACACAGCATGAAATACCAATGTAGTCTGATTTGAAAGAATGCACTTTAAAAAGGGATCTAAAACAGAGCTAGAAATATTGACTGTAAAATGAAATACTAATTTGTCACCTGTTTCTTATTTTCCTAAGAAAAACCCATTCTTGCTAACTGACAACCAAGAACCCCACCATTCCTGGGACACACTGACCACTGCAGCAACACATAACATACCTTTCAAACACATCAAATTACTCTGGTATTACCACGTTTTTCAGATTTTAGTTAATGATTTAGAAGAGAAAAAGGAGATTTCCTGCGTAACTTTTTGCAGCCTGCATTCCAACCATGAGAAACCAACCTAGTGAGCTCCACTTAAAGCCTAGCAGCATTTAACACCTGCCCATGGCTGTGTGCAGGCATTAGCACAGCCAGGCAGCCTTCTCCTGCTCCTCTGACATTTAGTACAACTTTTGTTTCTTCTGTGGACTGGGATTAACTGCTCTGTCCTCCTGCTGAAGGGTTGTGGAGCTCTCCTCAAGGACCCGTTTTGCTCTTCGTAGCACTGGCATCCACCAAAGGTGAAATATATCTGGTTTTACAGCTGCAGCGTGCCCTGAGACACCTGGTCTTTATACAGTGAAATGTAATAAATTTGATCTCTTTGCACACAAAAATGCCTTTCAACAAACACCTAGACTCCTTTAGATCCTCCTCCACTTTTAGGGCACTTTGAATTTCTCATCTACAAGTTCAGAAGAAGTCCAACCCTTCCTTCATGTTGGCACCAAACATGCTTAAAGTCAACATTTTCAGTTGTCACAATGCACAACCAAGCAGTTTTGGTCACACTTCATCTTTCCCCAGTCCAATTCCCAGAATTCCACTCACAGGCAAAGCCCAGCCAATAGAAGGCAAATTAATTTTTGTTTGCTAAATCTACTTATAATCTAGATTAAACTCTTTGAGACTACTCAAACAGAAAGAAAACTCGAATCATCCAAAAACCAATACCCAAACAAGACAAGTTTATGAAAAATGCTAAAGGCAGTGTCAAAGGGAGATTATTCCATGACCACCAGAATGAAGCAAAGACTCACTGGTGAGCTTTTCACTTAACTACATGCTAAGGCATAACTGGGCACATGCAGCTTTTATTAAGCTTATGATAATTCCCACAGCTTGCAGGAAGCTGGCCATGGAAAGCCTTCCCAGAGTCTGTGCCACTCCTTCTCTTGTGAGCAGTTGCCTGTGTGGCAGCCAAAGCTCAGACAAACTACTACCTTTTCTTTTGCCCTGTGAATTCTCTCAAGTTTAATACATTTTCCCATTACCTGTAGCAATAATATGGGCTTCCACTGCTGCTATTTTCCTATTATCACAAAACTAAGTTAATTTAAATGTGCAAAAAGGATATTAAATATTTCGGTTCAGGCGAACCTGACATCCCTTTCTTTCAGAACTCAGCCTTCTTGTGTGTTATAATAAGGCACAGCAATGACTTCAGCTTCCTCTTACCTCCATATTTTGCTTAAAGCTTCCACAGATACAACAGAAGTTGTCTACAATTTATAAATACGTTACCTGAAGATTTCTGTTAATAAGGGATTCATCCAGGGTCATTGCCAGTTCCACTGCCCTTTTCTGACTGGAAGGATCTAAGTAGTACATCATTTTGGCAGCTACAGGAGGAAAAGAAAGATTCATCACCCAGTGGATGACCAAAATCATCTTATACACAAACATAAAATAGGGATAACATGAGGAAGAGGGGAGACTGAACTCTCCAGCAGTAGTTCCAAATGGAACCAGCTTGGAGCATAAAGCATGATACCTACACAGGTAGAAGGGAAGCTCCAAACAAAGCATTAAAACAAACATTCTGCACACATTAGAAACAACAGGGCAGAGGTCCCCACATTCACACTTCAGCAGCACAAAGAGAAAATAAAGGAAAACCACAGACAACCTGGCAATCATGTTGTCAGAAAAACACAAACAGAGAAGAAAGCACTCCAGAGGAAAGGAGTGATTGTTACATCACTGGGGCTGACACTGAGATACCACTGCCAGAGAAGCACAGGAAATGTACCAGGCAGAACAAGGAAAAGGGCAAAGTACCTGATAACCTATGTGGCAGTGAGTCATAGTTCCTTTTAAGGAAAGCTTCATTGAAGTTCTTTGGATTAGTTGCTCCAAAAAGCCGATTCATTTCTTGGTTTAACACTGTTCTAACAGCATCAGGCAGATCCTTACTTTCAGATACTGTTGGAAAAAAAGAAGTTGAGGTGAGCACAGGTAATCACAACAAAATACAATTTATGTATTTATTTTAGCATTTTTCATGTTTACATTATTAATATAATTGGAAAGTATCTCAAAGGAAGATGCATGAAATTAGATCAGGTAAATACTGGATGTATTAGAAGAAGCTTAACTGTGGCACTCACCTGATGCCTAGAACAAGTCAGAGCTTTTTTACATTAATATACTCTCCCCCGCTTACTAATTAAAACCTATTAGGCTCAGAGGTTGAGGTCATACAGGTCTGTTCCTAAATGAGTCTACTCTGCAGCCTCCATCAGAAAGGGTGACCTTTGGGGCAGGGAGAGAATTCTTCCAACTTTCACCAGTAAGGACAGAATTCTAAGCCCTCTCCTTGCATGCTGACACAGGCTGTCAACAGAAAAGTCCCATTCCTCACTGCAATTTCCATTTCTTCACTGTCTCTCTCTCTCAGGCTTCACATACTGCTCACAGTCTCAAAAACTCTTAACAATACTGGAATGACTCCTAAATACAGATGCAATCATAATAACCATACTTAAATTTTAGCATGAATCAGTTTTCTAATACATGCTTTAAATATTTTGAATTAATTGTGCTAAAAACCAATGACTGCAGGTTTGGCATCACCTGGCAGTGTGCACAGGTGGAGTCCTACCAAACAGACACATACCACTGCTGAAGAGATGAATCATGCACTCGTGGAGCCAAGGATGACTGGAATCAATGGCAAAGGCTCTCTTCACAGACTGAAGCATCAGAAGGAACTTCTCTGGAAAGAAAAACCAAGTGTTGACAAGTGTTCAAAAACCTGTGGCAGGAAACCACTGCACTGTGTTACAAGAGTATTTAGTGTTTGAAATTAGAATGATCAGAAGAATTTACAGCTGAGTGTGCTGCAAAAGCCATTTTTAATAACATGCATCTATTTAACCAGTGAATTAAGTGGATAATCACCAAATGTTCAAACTCTGGTTTGCACATACTGCTCACTGCTGGAGTGCTGGTCCAGTGAAAAGTTCTGTGCCGTGACAGGGATGGGCTCCTCACACCTCATCAGTAATTGCTGCTTAAGTTCCAATATACACCTTTACCATTCACAAATTGCTTGCCTTCATTAAGTGCTCTCACTTACCTTTTCGAAAATAAATCTCAAAGGCAAAAAGATGAGTCTCTATTTTGTTCTTCACTAAATTCTTCAAGGGTGTTAAAAATTTAATGGCTTCTTCCAAAGGTGCTTCAACCTACAGATTCAAGGAAGTGACACACCTAAGTCAAAGTTGAAACCTAGTAAATACAACAACAAAACCCAGCTATTGCTGAGTCACATCAGAGAGTTACTCTCCTAAGGCAGTGCAGAAGATGCTTAGAATCTCTTCTGTTACAAATTCTGCAGCTTTTACTCAATGTCTAAACACAGACTAAAAAGTCCAAAATATTTGCTTTCTGATGGCTACAAAGCACGTTCTCCTATAGAGATACAATTCTTTTCCTTCTATCACACACCAGTAGTGAACACCCCTGGAGCTGAACCTGCACTGGAAAGGGCAGTGTGGCTGCCCACACCAAACTACATACATGGGCCTGAGGTAAATGACTGATAAACACCCATGACATCCTGCTCATGTGAGCTTCAGACAGGGTCCTAAAAGCTGCCAGGTCACAGTGACAGTCCTGGCCAATATCACAATACAATACTGTGATATAGAATTTGGAATCATATTAGATTCACATCTGTATATTACAGACATAACTAGATTTGCCAAAGAAATGCATTACACAGCTGCAACTGTTCCTTATAATCTTGGGGACTGGCTACATTTTTCATGACATCTCTGTACTACAGAACTCAATTTCAATAAATGCAGCTGCATTTCCATCTTGACTAGCATTGCAGTTAGTTCTGCTTCTTGCAACCAGTGAACTACACAATGGAAATACCAGCCATATTCTTAATAACTAGTCAAGTTTAAGTCACTTGTTTCTTGGCTACAGAGTGAAGTTCACTGACTCAACTTTCAAATACCCCTTCAAGAGCAAATACAACTCACTTCAGTGTGAATAGTATGAATATAGATCCAGAATACTGGATCTATTAAGACTTGCAATCTATACTACTATTGCTGTAAGTAGTTTTTCCAGTCTCTATAATTTTCTTATCTTTCCCTTACATTTTTTTGAGTGTTTTCCTGCTCCTTACAGACATAATTTCTGCTAAAGGAAGAGTCTTCTGAGTCACCTCCCTTTTATAGCTCTCTATAGTTCCTAATCCAGATCTCTAAATACATCTCAGTCTAGTCTACTATTTACTACTACAGCTTCTTTATTCCTTTTTCCCCCCATTCAAAACATGTTTGTTTCAAAACGTGTTTTATTCAAAACGTTTGTTTGTGCAAACAAATCTTGTTAAAGCATTCAGTGCTTCAGGGTCTCCTCTTGGACAGACTATGTGAACAGAATAAAGAAATGAAACAGAAAAGCATATCAGGGGGCATAAAAGAATGAACAATAATCACCTTACAGACAGGATAGAAAGACTTCCACACAACCAGCTAGAAATAGGGCACAATCAACAAGGTAGTGCAGCAGACATATGGAGATAATTCCACATGTAGCAAATGTTTATGACTTCAATTATGGCCTTTGAGAACTAGGCACAAAAACTGCGATTTCCACACTACTGACACTGTATCTAACCAACTAGCCCTTGAAAGGAATTATTTTTAAAACACTGCCTGTCAAGAGATGCCATCCAAAAAAAATTTACAAGTGATTTGAATGGCTTTTAAGTTTTATGTGTGCTTACTGCAATTTTTCTAGAAATTCCTAAGACTTTATTATTACATTGGTAAGCACCTTTGCCAGTTTCTCAGGGATCAGTTCCTCTTTCGGTCCTCCAATTTCTTCATCATCATCATCCTTCTTCTTTTTCTGATTCCTCTGTTGCTTCTCCTTCTCAGCATTTTTCTTCTCCTCCTCCAGTTGTGCTTTCTTCTGGGCTCTTCTCTGCTTATTTCGTAGCTTCTTTAGCTCCTTGTCAGACATGTTTGCTGCACACACACAAAGGACAAAACCACACAACACTGATGTCTCACAATTAACAGCATCAAGCAGATGTCAGACAGCATCACCAACATGTTTTAAACTATATCTACTAACAAGCAGTGCTCTCATCACCTTTGTAAAAGCTTATTTACTATGGATAGGTTGTTTTATAGTCTATGCTGATGCTTCATAATCCACAAATTCCTTAGTGGAATCAAGGGACAGAAATTAAAATAACAGTATAATGACATGAAAAGTACTAAAACTTTACAAACTCCTCTTAAAGGATTCTCTCATGAAGGATCCTCTATTAGTACCATTTGAGATGCCCCAAGCCATAACTGCTTAAGCTGCTCTCAAATCAGAAATGTGAGAAAAAAAAATAGATTATTTAAACATTATTTTTACATCAGAAGAAAGAGATGATAAAATTTAAGTTGCTACCAAGAGAAATTTCTGCACACTGATAAAACGCTTAGAAAAGTTACTACCAAGCACATCTGCTTCAATCTCCTGTTCCATGGACCAACCAACATAAGAATTCATGTTTTTGCAGTCATTCTGTAATACAAATATTTTTACTTAAGAACTACAACTCTCACTACAAACCCATCATTGCTTTGCAATAACCACAATAAAGCAGACATCAGTTTAATTTCCAGCAGAACATCTACTTTACCATGCAGTCCAAGCTGCAATTTGCCTACTTTGTTTTTTGCTATCACAGACCACCCTAAAATACCCACTAATTAGTGAAACTGCACGATGAATAAACCCTGAGGGTTGAATACCTGTGTCAGCCTCATGCTCTTTATTCTCATCTGTTAGGGGATTATCATGAAGTTTCAAGTAGATCTCTATGGCAATGCGTGCTGCTTTGAAGTAGAAGGGGTGTTGTCGAAGCACATCTTCTAGTTTTAACAAATCCACATAAGACCTGAGGGTGATCTTCCTCATGCAGTAGGTGTGGAAGTCGAACTGGTCATCCGTGATTTCTACAAAGTGCTGTCACAATGTAACATAACATTTGTTAGCAAATATTAACAATGAGATACTAACCTGCACTTTCAAAATAATCATTTAATAAAAGCCTACTGTTTGACAAATACAACCTAACTATTACAAACGTTAACAAAACCCTCCAAAAATGAAGTCATGATGAGACCAACAGAAGGCATCTTAGCCCAGAACAAAAATACATCAATTTCAGTGTCTTACAAGTAACTACCTCTGAGAATTTCCAGTTTAACAGACAAATGTTTTAAAGTTGTTGCACTTAAACATCATTTGAGAAGGTTTTCTTCCTTGAACTGCTCTGGTTTTTTTAATTCAAAAAAATTAATTCTGATTTCTACTAAATACTATGGCAATGAATCTCACTCTTAAATCAGACATGAGAAAGTGCTTTCTTTTGTTCAAGATCTGCTTTCCAAACCATCTAATGTCCCTTTGTCTTTGTTTAAGAAGCAGTAAAAAAGTCATTCCCCTCTTGAGCTTCTCCAAGTACTTAACATCTCATATAAATTTACCCTAAACTCAGCTGAGTTTGTCAAAGCTCAGGATAGAAGAGTAAGCACAATAAGCTAATTGAGGTCTCTTCCTTTGAAAGCTACCCCAGCTGGTGACTTACTAACACATTTTTAAGATGTGACACTCAGATGTGAACACTGTGACAGATTTATATAATGGAAGAAAAGCACTTCTTCTCGAGTTTTAATTCCTCACGTGTCCTTTCCACTGCTGCTCCACACCTGCATGTAAGTTTTTGCAGCATTATCTTTAATAGTTTTTAGGATTCCTAAGTAGCAATATTGTAGGACCTTTTAATACTTACGCATAGGCAGAGAATTTGTCACTGACTACAATGCTGAACATTTTATTTCATGGGCTGCTTAATCATTTAGTACTGAGACAGAGCAGGTGTTGTCCTTGCAGTTGTCTGTCTGTTTCTGTGATCATGTATTGATGGAATAATGAAAACTCTATAGAGACGCCCTAGTAATCTCCATGATAAACTCCTTTTCTTGCAAGAGCTGATTATTTGCTCCTACTCTGTTTCCCCAGCCATGAATCAGCTATTAAATCCATGAGATCAGCTTCCCCACTTTTTCTGAGACAGTTTAGATCCTTTAGGTGCAAAGAATGAGATAAAAATGCTTCTGAAAACCAGAACACATTTCATCAACTAGACTGGCCCCTTTGCATAACTGGCCCCTCTAAAAGATTTAGAAGGCACTGCTTTTTCTTACAAAAGCTTTGTTCATGGTTTCTGAATTCAACACATTTGCTTATCTTGTGGTTGAACTTTGCTACACCTTCAATTAATCCAATAAATAAATTAAACACAGTGACTTAAATGCTTAGAAATATTCTTTTTGGTGGCTTAAGTTATCACTTCATTTGCTGACCTCTTCTGGTACCTTAGACAATTTATAAAACTAATAGTTTCTTATACAAAAAAATCTTACACTAATTTATTTAAAGGATTTGTGCAAATAAAACACAATCCTGGCAAATCACAAACTGGTGTGGATTGGAAGGGACCTTGAAGGTCATCTGTTTCCAACCCTCTGCCATAGGCAGGGACACCTTTCACAAGACCAGGTTACTTTGGAAATTTTACATCACTTTTTTCAAATCAGAATGTTCTAGAGCTGAGTCCTCCCTGCAGAAGACCAGCAGTGCTGAAATCCCCTAATGCCTCTCTATTTGCAAAGAGGCACAGCTTCCTACTAAGTTCTGCTCTTTCAGCATTTCTTTTACACCCTCCGCTGTCTGGTCTTTTCTCTAGACTTTAGTGTGCTTTAAAAAACCCCAAATTCATACCTGCTTCTTTTTAAAGTTGTGCATCCAAATTTTGTTGTTTGCCTCACTATGGATATCAACATTTAATGTGCAAGTGTTCCCCCTTTTAAATAAAATTTCTACTTTAAGAAGTCTTTATTTTTGCAATGGCTTATTTTAAACTGTAGCTTTTTTTAAAAGGGGAAGACAGTTAATATTTTTGGTAATATTTTAAACATTTATTGTGTAGCTCTAAAACAGTGCCTTAATAGTAACTGAGATCTGTCCTTCACTTAAGGATGGGCTTGTCAGCTCATCCACTTATTTTTGGACTTAGAGTGCACATACTCTTAGTTTGTATCTAAATACCCATTTCTTATGTACACTGCCAGAACTAAGATTATTCTTGACAGATTTCTCCTCTTGTCTGGATCTTTAAGTAACTTTATAAAATCTTTTCATAAAACACAGTTTACAATGGAGGAGTTCATAAAACACAGTTTACACTTTTAGGAGGAAATGCAACTATATAATCTTGCCAGTAACCAACATGAAATCCCTCCTGAAGCTACATGAAATGCACCCTTACTGCTCAGAAAAGTGACATAGCAGCACAGTAAACTTAAACCAGTGTTTTCCAACCTAAGCCATTGAGCTGAATACGTACTCTCTCAATTTCATGGCATTTCTTAAGTGCTTCTCCAAATTTGTTCATTGCCTTGTAGGCCTGTGCACACTCTGTCTGAAACCACATGCACTGCATTTCATTAAGGTTCTCTACTGCCGAGGTTCCTTCCTAAAAACAAAAACAGCATTATACAGAAAATAAATCTCATAGGAGTCATCAGCTGCTATTTCTTTTATCTTGCCCTCATTAAAAGCACAGTTAAAGGAAATGACTGTTAAATCTCAGAACTGGAGTCTTGAAAGTTGGAAATGCCACAGTTAAAATTGACTAGCTTTGTTGATTAATATAAAAATACAAACAGCATGGAAAAAATGACAGAGAAGTTCCAGCCCACAACAAGACACTAACACCTGCAGAACTTTTTTCCCCCTCAACTAAAACTGCCATGTGCATCTTTCAGAGAACTGCTGATTGAGCTAAGCATCCTCACAGTAGTAGTAGATGATTATTTCTAATGCAATCAGTACTAGAAAGTAAAGCATGGCAAAAGGAACACTTTAGTTTGACACCTTCTGGTTCAAAAAACGGGATTACAGTTGTCTTTCAAATCTGGCATTTATATTTATTTGCACAGATCCATAGAGCTTAGCAATGAAAGAGAAAGGCAGTGTTCAAAACAGCCTGACTTAGGCAACTGAAAATGAGGAAAAGTATCAGTTCTATTTTCAGTATGCTTAATCTAGGACTCCTCTAATTATTTTTGGGGTTTTTTTTAATTAAGAAGCCTGTATTTGAGCACTAGACATAAGATCAAATAGAAATAAATAAGAATGTAAAGAGCAACTTCAGCAATTTCTTTCAGTATTTTTCAAGTTCAGTTTTGGGTAACTGGCATGCTTCCTTTTAACATCATCTTAGAGCTGCTTAAGGCATTGAGGGAGGTCAAATTAACCTAAATTCATAATGGGTTTGCATCAAAACTCCCACATGGAGCTACTGAGCATACATAAAACAGAACTTTCTCTCCCCTCATGTCTGCCTCCACATGGCCTTCATTTCACAAGATCCTTCAGGTTTCCTTCATAAATACCATTCCCCCTTCTCTCCATTCAACCTACCTTGCATTCCAGGTTTCTCCTGCTCTTTAAGAGAGGAGAAAATGGGACAAACAAACAGAAAAGGCTTTACTTTTGCAGGTAGATCCCAACAGCTTGCTGCCTGTCTCTCACAGACAACACACAAATGACACTGCCAGTATTCCAAAACTGGAATTTGACAAATAGTCTGGAGAGACTTCACTGAGCTGTTTTGAATTGCAGTTATGAAAGAATAATACCAAAGCAGTACATTTTAAAAAGTAACTATGTGTGACCATCAAACCTATCCGAATGGGGCTACAGCAGGGACAAAAAGTGACGCCTGAAATCGTGCCATTTCCATAACCCAACATTCATGCTGTATTTTTCCTACCTAGCAAAAATAACCAAACCGAAGCTTTATAGAGTTTTCACTTATTCCTATGGCATCATGCTTATCCAAGATTAATTCAAACCCTCCTATGGTCTACCATAACTGAGGCAAGCAACCATAGGTGCTCTGAAACAGAATTTAAATATGACAGTAAGGCTGACTGCAAAGTTAAAAAAAGTTATTCCACAAGGGATTAGGCCCACACCATTCCAAAGACTTCTAGAAAAGCACAACAAACCCGTGTAAACTTAGAACACATTTCTTCAGCTTCTTTAATGGAGTTTGCTTTCAACATATATTTTGCACATTTGGAGTTGATAAATCTGTCTGCTGTGTCCAAAGCCTGAGCTTCATCCATCCACCTTGCAGCTTCTTTAATATTTCCAGCATGCTATAAAGACAGAAATTTAAGTTGATTGAGTAATTGTAAAACACGCATGTTTTATCTACTCACTGCTTGATATAAATAGGTTTTTCTTTAGACTTTTAAATATCTTTCCTCATTATGGAATTACTGGTCTTTTAGCACTGAATGTTTTTCCTGAAAATGCTTTAAGAATCAGTTTGGATAATCCCATTCTGACACAGTATCATAGTGCACCCTGAGAAATTGTTTTAAGCAGCTACAAAAACAGGGGGTAAGAACAAATGAAAGACTCAATTTAATTTATCAGTGTGATTTTTAAACTAAGAATTCACATTTCTCCTTTACTGAGTTAGAAACCTACATAGTGGCTTTTTCATATGCAGCAGAAAACCCCATCTCAAATAGCTTAACAATACCCTTACCTAGAAACTCACTACAATTCCTAACAAACAAATCACCTTTGGTCACTAAGAATAAAGCCAAACTTACCTTATAAATTTTTGCCTTCACAAGGAAGAGTTCTATCAAAGTGGGAGTACTTTCTATAGCAGCATTTATATATTCTAGAGCCAGGGATGGCAGTCCAATTTTATCATAATGCTGAGCCAAGTAATACTGGACCCAGAGTAAAGTGGTTGGAGGTTCTTCTTTACCATCATCTGGCAGGAGCAAAATGGAGAAGAGTTGTTTGTTCAGTTTATTACTAAAACAACATACCAGAAGTAAAATGCTCTAAGCACAGCCACTGAAATTAATTGTCTCTCTATCAGACCTAGGAGAGCTTTCAAACTACTGGCTTTAGGTACGGTACGTACATGAGCTTTTAAGTCCATCCAAGACCTAGGTATATCCTTCTCCTTCTGTGGTTTTAAGGAAAAGGCAGTTGGGGGTCAAAAGCAGGTGCACTCTGTTCCAACTATTTGCTTAGGGCAGTCAGATATGCAAAACCTCCAGGAACATAAAACACAGTCCACAACAAAAGCTCCAAAACTACACTTTTCCTTGAAGATTGTACTATCAGTATATTGCCTTTTGTTTGGCATTTCTGTAGTAACAGATTTGACACAGCTGCCAAACCTCAGTTTTCTGCACAGTGATAAACTCAAATCTTGAAAATAGCATACTTGAACTCAAGTCTGCAAAGACACGATTAAATTCATGGATCCAGGAAAAAAGTTTAGAGCAAGTGACTACATTTTGAATAGAGACTTTCTATTTGACAGCTAAGGTTCTGCATTAGGGGAAAAACAAAAACCCCACATCATCCCCTTTGTTTCTTCACTCCCATTTCCCCACCTCTGAATGGACACACAGTGCTTACAACCAGGCACTACTTCCATGAAGCCCAACAGTCTCAGCACTCACCATTTGGGTTAAATAACCTGCAGCTTCTTAGAGAGGTTTCATAACCTATCACGAGCTCTTCTATGATTGCCACCTACATGTATGTACAAGACGAGACACAGGAAAAATAATCTGTAGGCCACATAGTATTTTATTTTAACTTGAGCTACTTGGTGTTACCCAAACTAGTTATTTTGGTAAGAAAACTCTGCAATATCCTGAATTACATTACTTCTGAGAATGTACTCAATCTCACTTTATTTTTAACCAGGCCTCCCTTGGTGAACACTTACACAGCTTAAAATTACTAAATTTTAAGTTTTTTACATTTACCAACTTGGCACACGTATGCCCACATACATACTACTTTCTTCTCTCCACTGTATCAGGTCATGTAGAGCAGCGCTCATGGAGAGAACACTGAAGAAAAATGGTTTCCTTCATCTCTTCAATACACTACAGTTATGAGGTAGAACACAAAAACTGGTTAGAACACTTACCTTCTCTTTGTCTTTATATAATGACCTCAAAGTGTTGAAGACTGGTGGGCAACCTTTGCTGAAATTCATCCTTAAGAACTTGTCCAGACATTCCTTGAACTTTTCACCTTGAGAGGAAAAAGACCTGTTGATTTTGTTTTACCAGACATTACTCATCAATTGCAGGTTGTTTATACCTTTACATCAGAATCTAAGAAACACAAGTGTTGATCACTACCTGCTCAGCAAAATATGCACTTACCAGACAAAAAGTTTAATGGTAATCTTCTTGGAACTAGTCCCCTTGGGTATTTAGTCCAGGCCTCCTCATAGATCTTTAGTCTCTCCATCATATTAGCTGGAAAAGAATTTTACAGTTTACTTTCCCCTTCCATTCAGGCAAGAAGGAAAAGGGGAAAGTGATTTATACCTGACTAAAAAAGGAATCAGAATATATAACAACTATAATATAATATATATAATGGCTTCCTAAAGAACAGAATTTCCTCCTTATTCTTATTAAAAATAATGAATTGAATGACTCCAAGGTACACAGTATCTGCTAATTCCTCTTCCAGCACTAGAATACTAACTGCTTATCTCTCATCTTAAAAACAGCCCCTGCTTTATTGCTGTCTAAAACCTTCAAAGAAGGTCATTCAGTTTTATCAGCTACAACACAACATTAAGATAACAGAAGCAGTAAAGGAAAAATTCAAAATTAAAACTGTCATCTAAGAAATAATTCTATTCTTTCAACCACACACAAAGAGTATTGCAATTTTATGATTCTATGATTTTGGATAAGACAGGGTAACAACAATGCAAGAGATATTTCCTGTCTTTCTTAAGAAACCCCAACATTATGACGGTAGGTACACACGTGGACTAAAAAGCAAAATTTAAATGGGGACTTTTAAAATAATAGTTTTAGTATTTAAAGCAATACAAGCTTTTCATACACATAGTAATTTTAAATATATAGAAAAAGCTTATTTACTACAAGATATCAAATGATTACCTGGCTTAAGTGCCTTTTCTAAGCCTTTGTAATAAGCCCAGTTTTCAGGATTTCTTTCTTGCAGTCCCTTGTAGACATCAACTGCTTCTTCAAGTCTGCCAAGCTGAAGCAGGAGTTCTCCTGTGTGAAGAACAAGATGGTTTAAATTGTAAAAGCAGTGTAACATTTATCTCTCTACACTAAAAGACTGGATAATCCTTAGCTCCATCCGGATTCTAATTTCATAGAAAAAATAAGCACTACATATAGCATTACAAACTAGCTGACAGATATGATTTTACTTTGACAATAGCTGCAGTTAAAGTAAGATTTTACAACTTGGCCCATAATTCCTGAAATGTACTTGAAAATTTAATGCAAAATGCCTATGATTTGGGTTTTTTTTCCTCACTTACTGAAGTGACTGGTTACTTTAAGTGCAGTTTTTACTGCAGAAGACAATTAAAAGCAGCACATGGTATTTGATGTATACAGCATCTTGAAAACCAAACAAACTGCAGAGCTGCAAGTAAGAGAATGGTTCTTCAATCTGGTATTTCATGAAACTAACTTCAGTGTTTTTAATCAAGCCATTGACTAGATGGATGTATTTTCAAGATTATGCCAACAAGTTTCCTTTTCACAATACTTCAATACAAATTAAAATTGATAAAGTAAAGATTAGCTCTAACAATTGTATAAGCATCTTTGTTAATGCTGGAACTGCAACAGGAGTAGATTTCCTGTTTCACAATGGAAAACTATTTAACAAAGCTTTGCTATTGGCAAATGTTAGGCATGAACAGATTACACACCAGAGGTGAACAATACAAGTCTAGACTAAAGCAAGATTTTTTAAACCCAGTTTAAAAGAGGAAAATGCAAATTCACCTTTCTTCTTCCCAATGTCACACAATTAACATGCAATTTTGTCAAGAGATGCTGCTTTACACAGTTAGAGTAACTTGAGGACTACACACAGAATCTAGTGCCCAGGAAAATGTTCACTCACTGAGAATGACAGAATTGGGAAAATAAACCTTAAATTCTTTCTCTGAGGTGAAAGTTAATTTTTTTCCTATCTAAGACCAGCAAATATCAGCACAAGTTGGAGTGTTTTTCTGCTGTACTTCATCCACAGAGGCTTTTGCATGTGTGCTTAAAATTTGCACACACTCATTTATTACAATAGAGAATACACAGCAGCCAAGCCAGTCCGAACAACACAATGGGAGCTGTGCCCAAAAAATTCATCACTTGTACCCTGCTGAAAGCACACAGCCTGCAAAGAGTATTTCCATCCTTTTGTCTGGTAACTTCCTAAGGAGGTTTTGTGTTTTGGTCTCAGGTTTATTGTTAATGAAGTCCTATTTGCAAAACTTATTTTCATCCCAGACTTTGGACCTTCAAACACTAAGAATGTCATATAATACATCAATTAAGAACATAAAGTATGTCAAAAGATCCTTCAGATAAAAAAATAAAGTCAAAATAAACCCCACTCCTACCCCCAAAAGTCCCACCATTGTGTTTCAAAAATGATCTGTGATATTGTAGTCTCTACATCCATCTCCTTTCATATGCAAACCAAGTAAGATATTCAGCTACCGTGGAGAGTCATCTGCAAATAATTTCCTTGAGGAAACACCACACCTACCATTACTGTCACTGCTCAATTCCTAGGTTTCTTTGCAAGACAGTGAGATTACTATTACCAGAAATAAGAACTTGCTACACCATCTACATGAACAAACCAGGGTAAAAGGATTTCTTCTCTTTAAGCAATCATCTAAACAGATTCCAGCGTGAGCCGAGAGCAAGCAGCACCTTCAATAGATGGGCAGTTTCAGAGAGAGACTGTACAAGCATCAAGCAGAAAAGGAAGAGAGCATGCTTTAAGGAAGTGCACCTGTTAAGAGAGCTGCTAGAGTGAACTTGTATCACTCTGCAATTCCATGTGTGGAATATAAGCTACAATACTGTACTGATCTCTTACAGTATTATACACCAGGCTTTTCATAGTACAACAGAAGCTCCCCCAGCCTCACTGAAGAGTCAATTTCTACATGCTGCAAAGGTGACTGGGGACATTTAAAAGCCTTCTGCTGTACCAAAGATGATTCTTCCTTTGCAGCACGTGCTATCCTTGTCAGGGCCACTATCAAAGCTGTAACAGCACAGGGTACACTCACACAGACCTTCAGCACATCAGTTTACGATCTCCTGTCTGAAACATCTGGCTGCTTAAAAGTTTCAGAACCTCACTGATGAGTTACCAGCTTGGGACAAGAGCATGACAGGGACTGAATAAGCTGTGAGACAAGCAGTCCTACATAACATCAAAATTAAATAAATTAAGCTAAAAACAAATCTGAGTTCCAAAAGATGGGAAAACCTGACAGTACAGACATCCCACTGTATGCTATGTGTTTAAATGTATCTTCAGAAAGTGATTACCTTTAGTTTCTTCAACAGCCAGTTTATCACAGATCTGCTTTTCATAGGTACAAAGATGCTCCAAGGCTTCTTTAAAAAGCCCTGCTTCCCGGAGGACTTGGTTTTGATAGAGCAGCAGCTCACTGTACTCATAGTCCACTTTGTCAGGTGATGTCTACACAGGAAAGCCAGACACAGGACACAGATCAGCCTTCTAACTCTAAACTTTGGGATCAAATTCATTTGACTAAACAAAGTTTAGTCATGCATGAAGTTCTCATCATGAAAGGAATGTTTTATTTTTGGCTTCCGCAGCAGTCCATATAGCAATTTCATGTTCTCCTCTTACCTGCTGTGTCTTCCTAAATTCCTCTAAAATTTTTGCTGCCATTTCGTAGTCTTCCAGCAAATGGTAAGCGATGGCATAACCGATCCATGATGCTCGCTGTGCGGGTCGGAGCTGAAGCAACTGGTATCTTGTTTCCTGCAAAAAAGGAGCTGCTAATTTTACTCTGATACTCTGCAGAATCCCTTAGGCAAGATCCTGTCTTCAATATTCTAGTATTTAAGAAGTCACTGCGAAATAGTTTTGTATATGCATTTTATTAACCAGAGAAAGAATAAACTTTGAATTGCAGTGGTGCTCACTGAATAAAAAAGTAAGCCTTCACAAAATAACATGTCCAACCAAATCCTGATGAGTCAGACTAATTTTGTTAATGCATGACACACATGCTTTTCCTGTCTAACCACTTATGAACAGAACATAATTAAGGATACTTGGTTTGAATTGCAGGAACATTTACCAGTGTTTCACATTAACCTTGAAAGTACATATGTATTTAAATAATTGGAAGTGTTCTTAGGCAACACAGGTCACGCAAACACATCCCTGTTCTTTGGCAAGAGGATAATCACAGCTGGAAAAGACAACAGATTTGCTTGGTATCACGCAATTTTAATGCCACAACTTGTTTTGTTATAGACTGCTGAAAGGCATTTTCAAGTAACTTAAAGGAAAAAAGTTACTTCCCATTGAGAAATGTCTAAACTGTCAAAAATAGGGATTAACAAAGAACCAAATCCAGTTACAGCTGTTTTAATAGAATGGTGATCACTCAAAATATTTTCATGTGGAGGCTGGAATTTAAAGGAAAGGAAAAAAAAACCAATCAAAACACAATCTAATTCCCAGTTTTGAGAGCAAACTCACATTTCTTCAGAGACCAGCATATGATTAGCCATGAACTACTGACTTCTAAGCATCCTAACATTTAATCCTTAATGCATTTGGCAACCATGTGTTACTTGTATGTTTAGAGATTACAAAATTTGCATTCACATTTATCCAGAAGCCAAGAAAATAGAAATCTGCAAATGCATTTTGCAAATGTGCATTTTGGCACCTACACTAAAGTTCTAGCTATCTTGTCTTGGCAAGAGTGGAACCAAATTTCTAAATGAAAAAAAAACACAATGAAAAAATCAGTGATTAAGAATTGTCCTGACTGAGGAATAAGTTCTCTGAGGGCCTGTGCTAGCTCATGGTTCCACACAACTCTGAGCACAGAATTTTCTCCTGGCTATAACTAATGTTACCATAATTTGAAAAGGAAGTATTACATGAAGAGACCAACTAATGTGTTTTAAATAACACAACTTTAGAGGTGCAAGGGAAACCTAAAAGATGAAAACCTGACAAAAAAATTGAGCAGTCACTCACTAATGCCCAAGCTGGCAAGGAACCAAATATGATCTTTCAAGCAGCACACTGCTTTTTCAGTTATTACCTACTGCTAAGAGAAAACAGGGGGCCTGTGATGTAAAGGTGGAGGGATATATAGTACAAAGTTACTAAAAATACAAGCTCCTTTGCCTGAATAAAAGTCACGTTCTGAACACATTGCCCCTTACCTACAGGAATCCTCTCAAGAAAAGAACAAGACTGGAGATTGCCTACAGCTGGGTTATACAGCACCAAAAAAAAAAAACCTCCACAAGGCAAACAATTCTGCACGGAGCTGAAAAATGCATAATTTAATTTGCCATTAAATCTTTGTATTTTGTAGAAATTGCCCAGTAGCACATCTGCTTTTACTTTATGAAGTGAAAGAGTGGTGTATAGTTTTAACCCTCTGGACCTAACTATTTTTTCTTAAAGTGTCATTAATCAATCTGCCCCCTTTGCTGCAGTTCCCCAGATGATCATTAAATGCAGCATGCATACTCACCCTGTACCCTTCAAGATCCCTCATTTGAATCTGTAGCAGAGAAAGGTCTCTCAGGATTTGAAGATTGTCTTTGTCCCATTTCAGTGCATTTCTGTAGCATTTGATAGCTTCATCATACTTCTTGTCTGACCTCTGAAGAAGGCCATAGACGTGCCAACCTGGAAAACTCTATTAAGGCTTCCTCTGAATTTGAGCAGGGACAAATGAGCTCCAACAGGGCAGGGACAGAACAGCTGGCAACAAGCTCTCAAGCTGTTTTGTAAATGGACAGGAAAAGTACAATTCCTTTTGTCAGGACTTTGCCAGTTATATGTATACAATCTGTACAATATGCTGTAAATGTTACTTTTCACACACTGGGGGAGGAAATAAAGTAACAGGATCTCTGAAAACACTCTTAGGCTTACTCAAACCCAATTTTAGACAGCTGAAGTGCTGATACTTCCTGAACTCTAAGTGTATGAGCATTCTTTTAACAATGTAATGGCAATCACTCACGCTTCCAAAGCAAATCACATGCTTAAATGCCCACCTTGGGTTTACAGTTGCAGATTAATGATAACAAGCACACACTTCATGCCAGAAAAATATGTAAGCTAACTGGGAGTGTAAGGACTGCAAAGCATTTGCCCTTTGGAGAGCTTAGACAAAACATTTATTGGAAATTGAAAATTCTGCACTTCCAATCTGAAGTTAAAACTGGCTTTTATTGCTATTCTATGAATGAAGCATATGCAGAAATGAAGCTTTTCAATTTTTCATTTGACCAGCAAAAGCCCTGTTTCACAAAGGATACAGACATGACTCTTCAGGTCATTCCTCAGGCCTCTGCGCACAAGTTCATAAGCCTCCTCTTTCTTCCCAAGACAGTTCAGTGTCAGTCCTTTCATTGCCAAGGTTTCTAAGAAAGAAAAAGATTAAGTTATTTAATTTTTTATTCATTTCATGGGTGATTCAGTTATTCATTTTCATGGCTTTTAAGCTCCATATAGCAGCCCTAAACATAGTATACATGCAAATTTAGATTCAATTCTCACTATCAAGAATTCATTCTTTTCTCACATGGAAAACTCTACTGTCAGATTATTCACTTAAGTATATCATACACAGCAATAAACCTTTTATATTACTTCCATGAAAAGATGAAGGAATGCTTTATTTTAAACCTGTCTGTTCTACAAGCTTCTGGAGATTTTTTTATTCACAACTCTGATATTTATTCACAACTCTGATATTTCTACACATCTACCCATACCAAAGTAGTTGCAAAAAACCCACAAAGCCATTTCTGAACAGTGCAAAGAGACTTTCACTAAGTGGCAAGAGCTGACTAAAAATACAGTGAAGGAATAAATACCTTTTTCTTTTTTTAAAATACAACTATTCCTTCAGAAAAGTAACATCCCACAGCTGACAGAATACTGAACAATATTCAGCCTCTTCCTTTTGTTTGTCACTTTTATGTGAGTGAATATCAATTTCCCATGAAAAGTGATTTTATTAATGCATACTTGTATTAAGAAACTTGCTCCATGAATCTTAGACTTGAATGATAAAGAATGGGAAGCTCTGACTACTGGTAAGATCAGTCTTTAAAATGACAAATCTTACCAACAGTAAGTGCTTAATACACGTTCCTGGATGCTCTTACTGCTTTATGGGCAAAAAGTTAACAGTGAAGGGTTAAAAAATTAAAATAATTACTGTAAAGTACAGTGAAAAAGAGAGCACCTGCCATTTGAACACTTACCTCCATGTTCTGCAAACTTGGGATTGGAAAGGATCTGTTTACAGAACTTCAGCCCATTTCTATACTGCTTATGTTCATAACACCTCTGTTGAAAAACAAAATAAGTTCTTTCAAAAAATTTATGGAGTGGAAGTGTTCATGCATGCCTGAAATGAAGCATCAGTACAGATACAGATTTTAGAAAATGTACTCATATTTTAATGAATCCTGTTTATTGTGTTTAAAAATTCTTTCCATTGACAGGAAAAAAAAAAGATGTTAGCAACACCATGAGTTTAAATGTAGAAGTGAAGACATTATCATACAGCAGAATCTCAAGACACCACAGGAAGCTCAAGTGCCTGAAGAGATTCAACTCTCCCTCAACACAAAAGGTAAGCACTGAACCCACTCTGGCCAATTATCCTGAACAGAGACCCACGAGACAACCTCCAACAAGCACACGAGCTGGAAAGACAAAAATCACTGGAACTTGGCTTAAACTACCTCTGACAGCAACCTCTCAGGATGAGTTTGATTACAACATGTATCTCATACACCCAGACTTTCAAAACTGGTATATAGTAACATTATCTTGCCATACTGGAAATTTAAACATTCCTCTACTGTTTTCTTAGTCCAACTGTTTTGGCTGAGCCTCATTCATTATGCAAGGTGACCACAATGCACTGCAGCACACAGCATGACCTTTTGAAACTAGTTTTAGTATTTTATTTATGTAAATATACTTCTTCTGCTCATATTTAAATAGAAGGCAGAAAAAATAACATTACAAACACCAATTCATAGATTTTAGGTCACTTCAGCAAATGCTTGGAACCTCTTACATTTAATGTTTCTGTAATGAAATAAACATTTAAGAGCCCAGGAGTACAGGACCACACACTGACTGAGCAACAGCCCAAATCCTATTAATCCTGTTATTAATTACAAAGTCATTCATAACAGGATCTCACTGACTCTGGTTGATTCATTCTGGTGGCAGGATGGTGGACAGGGGTGTAAAAATTGGGCACAGCTCAGTTTTCAGGTCCTTCTAAATAAGTTGTTGCTCAGGATTCCATCTTTCCTCACACTGCTCCAAAGTAATTATCCAAGAGCATTCATAAGCACATATGGACACCATGTGTCCTCAAACCACTCTCAACAAAAATATTTAGGAAAGGCAGACCCAAGAGGTCTTCCCTTCAAGCAGACAGTTCTAAAAATAAAACTGTAAAGAGTTACATGAATGTTAGGGGAAATGCTTAAAAAAGAAAATGGCATATTTACAACTTCTGTGTTTTATGCTGCTCTTCATAATGAAAGATGATGTTTAGTGTCTGGTTTTCTCTTGGAAATACCAACAATAAATTTCAAAGCTATAAAAAAATGGCAGAACGCTAAGTGCATGTATTATTTTCTAGCAATAAAGTCATACAGGTGAAATAATGACTGAAGACCAAGATGCATCACTCACCACCCATCCTGCTCCCCCTACACTGTCGCCCTTAGGAGAAAGGGAATGGCTCACATGGAAACGGAAGGAGCAGGAAGAGCCCAGAGAGAGCAAGCCAGATGAGGCTTGCTCAAAGAGGAGCAGATCAACAAAAGAATTAGATGGTTTGAGCTTGAGCAGACCTTCAAAGGCCATCTAGTTCCACCCACCCCCATGGGCAGAAACACCCTACACCACCTTGTTCAAAGCCCCATCCAGCCCTGACTTTGAACACTTCCAAAAGACAACTCCCTCTGTTCACCAAGGACAGGAGAAGTCAGCACTGCAAAAGAACATTTGAAGGGTTAGGTAAGAGAAAATCTGTACAGGCAACTTTTTTTTTTTTTTTTCTATTAAACCTGACTGGGTATTACTTACACGTTCCAGTCATTATCAGCTTTCAAACAGCTGGCTGAGTCACTATAATCAGCCAACTAGTCAAAGCTGACAGACTTTTTCTTTTTTTTTTTTTTTAATTGAAACCATCAGTCATAAATGTTACAGGCAGGCCTCCTCCCTGAAAAGCAGAGCCCCCACCCAGGTAGTTGTGAAAAGCAGCAGAACCTGTCACAGAAGTGGGGCAGCCACAGGAACTGAAGAAGGTGTCTGCAGCAACCAAGGCACTGACACAAGCAGATGGGGCACTCTGGATTTCTGCAGTCTGGCTTTGAGCACAGCTTGCTCAAATGCTGGCTATGAACATGACATCTTATCACTAAGTGGTTCCATTTAATGTATTCTAACAACCAGGCTCCCACCTTGAAGCTTAAGCAAAGTCATATGGGATACATGCTAAAGACAGGAAATATCTGCACATAAAGTTTTCTAGGGTGATACAGAGCTTACAATGCAAGGTAGTTTGGAACAGAGCAAAGTCACCCACAATTGTAACAAATTCTTCCTTTAGGCTTCATGGAGGAAAGATTTACAAGTTTATATATACTTACATCTCATAACTCAGAAACCACTTGGATAGGGCCAACAAATTATCAGGAAACAATCTGGATATACTTTTATCTCCAGAATATAGCTCTGTATATAGACATGGCTGTGTATACTCCCCAGTGAAGCATCAAAGGCCTCCTTTGACAAGTCAGTTCTAGATCAAGACAAGTTGGAATGATTTCCTGTATACAATTTCACCAAGTTTTCTCGTTAATACTTTCAAGGTTATTTCAGTCTGTTAATGCAAACACTTCAAACTGCGTTTTTTTATGAGCTTCCTTATTCTGTGTATGTGTTCTGTGAGCATACTGTATGCTTTGACAATGGAAGGAAAGGAGCAAATGAAATTGAGGTCACATTTAGCTCTTCAAAAAAGAAGAGACTGTTTCCTCATAGTGGGCCCAACAGCACACTGAGATTCCCCTGCCTGAAGCTGTGCACATACTTAACTCATCCTCCAGAGAGATTATGGACTAGCAAACTCAAATTAAGGTGGGAATGAGACACAAGGAAGCCAGGATAGAAGCACATGCAACCACGGCTGGTACAAACATCAGTGAACCCATAGTTTCAAGGAACAGACAATTCAAACAAAAATCTTTTAACAAAAAGGAGACAGAAAATATACACACAGCCTGGGAAAGAAGATCCTTAAGCAAGTAAGCAGTTTCTGAGTGAGAGAAGAAAAAGGAACAAGCAATTAAATTTTAAAAAAAGAAAAAAATCACAGAAGCAGGAATGGTGACATGTCAAGTATTCTTGGGACATAAAGATACAGGCTTCCTGGAAACAGGAATTTTATTCATCTGGGTAGCTTGTTTCCTCCCAGATGAACAGCTTGTAGCAGTCATTGCCAGAGCTCCAGCCCCTGCTTCAGGACAGATGTTCTGCAGAAGTGACACATTTCTCTGTCCCAGAGATGGCCAGAGGAGCACAGCTGCCTGCACTAAGCTAAATTCCTGCACATATAAACTTCAAAGCCAGCAGGGCCAGTGTGCTTGTGATGCCTGACAGACAAGGGCTGCAGCTACAATTTGTGACATCATGCAATGAGAAAACATGAAAGCTAAACTTTAAAAGAGTAAGGTTAAGAAGGCTTCAGAAGAACAGAATCTGACTCTACATCAGTACTGAATCTATTACACATTTCCTGCCTTTCAAAGCTTTTAGTTTAATAAGTTACCAGATCTTTTAAGACATCTAACAAACTTATGTATACATGCTGTGGCCAGAATTAAAACCTATTCTAAACACACCAAGGTTCTTTTTATATCCCTTAACTAATTTTCTATCTTTATAGGAAGGAAATAACACCTGCTTTTATACAATTGCACAACGAATTAGTAAGATGAGGCAGGCAAAGTCTGATTCCTTCGAAATCATGCAAGGCTATAGGAGGTAGGCTATAGGAGGTAAGTTACATTGCTTCCCCCACCAAGTATTTATTCAATGGATCAGAATGCACAGCAATTACTAGATGGCCCATATTCTCTACAATTCCAAGTCTGAGGTGGCAGGAAGGCTTTATTCTGATGTTCTCTAAACTGCATTAAGGCATCAGTGCAGACTCAGTCTCTGGCCAGCAGATGCCTTACACGCACACTGTGCCAAATGTGAATAAATTCCTCCCTGTTCCCTCTTTGGTGGCTGCCATGAAGGAAGGTGAAGAGACTCCTACTATTCACAGCTTATCTACATCAAGTCACAGCCCATGGCTACATGGAGTTTGTTCCTCCCTTGCCCCAGCTTTCCATTTTTGAATCTTCTCCCATCTACTCTCTAAACCCTGCTGCCAAACCTACAGGCAGTGAACACTGACGTGGATTCTTGAACAAGGTAACCACAAGGTTGTTATACAAGGGCCCTGCTACTGATTACAGTAGCACTAAGAGCTGCTTACAAGCAGAAATTACTTCCATCCAAACTTAATTCAGCACTGTTTTCTTTATATACAGTATAAGCAAATACATTGTGACCAGAGCATTTTAGAGCTTTTATATTTTTGAAATTTATGCGACTAGGCTCTGTAATTGTTTGCTACTGTGTTAGGTTAACACAATCTGGCTTTTAGTGGTGGCAGAGGAAGCCACAGAAAAAAAAGGGTCCTTGAAACTTCTACTATGCCCAGCAGAGCCAATTCCTAAAGGCTCTGATGACTGAACACCAATTCTCCCTCGAGTTGGAGAAAACGAAAAGGTGAAAACACCTTTTTAAGTTTTATTACTGTTTTGCCCGTGAAATGCTTCTTTCCAATCCTTACCTCAGCTCATGAGCTCCTTTATAATTGTTCTTTCCCCCTCCTCTGCTCAACTATACCAAAGAATGAGTGAATGATTTTTTGTGGGTGCACTGGCATTTGGCCAGCATCAAACCCACGACAGCTACCGATAAGCCAGCAGTGTATTTTACCTCCCAAGTAATTCTTCCTTCTCAAACTAGACATTTTAATGGTCAAATACATGTGCTTCCAACACATGATACTAGTCAAGTGAAGGATTCTGACAAGCAGATATGTCCCTCAGGGGACACAGCACACAGCAGACTGGACTCTGACATTTATACATGAAATATTTTGCACATATTCACACCAAGGAGTGCAAATACTTTTATCACAAAGCAGTCTTCACATCCTCCAAACATTTGAAAACTAAGGTAAATTATTT